CCCCGATAAATTACAACTCCCCTCATAGACCAAGAGGCACGCACTGCGTTGGCGCGTTTTCGTTCATGTGCGCACGCTTCATGCACATGCATAGATAGTTCTGGCACTGTTTGTGAACAAAAAGTAAATCCGACCAAGCAAAGGCCCAAAGCAAGCAACCGCATAGCAAATCAAAGGCCGTCACCCGCCACTGCAAACCACAGCACACTGGGACTCTACCGGTTCATCATGTACCAGCCCCTGCTGCTGCTGTCCAGCCACTTCCTCAGTGCGTCACGGAACGGGAACGTGCCCAGATCGAACAGGTCCTGGGTAAACATTCGCACACACAATGCTAGGTGCTCATGCCCTTGCGGATGCGCTGTGTCTGAGCCCGCTTGGCACTGCGAGCACTCGGGTTGGGCGCCTCGCCGCATTCGTTGTTGTCAAGCTGATTGGGTGACAGCTTGCGCTTATGCTGATCACAACCGCCATGGAAGGCAGGGGTAATGGCGCCCGTGTCATCGGTCGCCGCTGGCAGCAACATTGCCGATGCATTACCGACAACAGCACCGCCGTCCCAAACGCCTTTATCAGGAAAAATTTTAGACTTATCTTGCTGTTTTTGTGTTTGTTCGGCGTTCAAGTCGTTGCCTTTTGCGTGTTTGTCTATGGAAGGACCGGTCATACATTCTGCTATGCCGCGTTGACTCACGGGCTTGACCTTCTTACGGCCCCTCATATCTATTTTATGATCAATAATACTAAGTTCTGCACACTACGGAGCAATCTGGCAGCAATGGACGTTTTTGGCTGAAGGAATGAAAATGTACGGATCGGCCTCACTTTGTTCCTTATTTCCAAAGGCCAAAAAGGCCTCTTTATTCCTTAAAAGTAATATATTACTTAAAAAAAACACTGGATGAGGGTGCCCCGAAATACCGGGGAAGACAGGGTTGCGCCGGGTAGCTGCCACGGGTGAAGATATGCCCCCCCCTGTCCCACACATCACGCATAGGTGCATCCTCCCGCGCCTACCCGCTGTTGGTGGTAGGTGATGAGGTCCTCGAAATTCGCCCGGTACAGCTGGTCAGCCGGCAGAATAAGCACGTGCTTCACCTACAGATATACCGTACATATCGTACAAGTTGTACATACATTCATGTTGTACTGTAGAAGCTGGCCGCTGAAAAGAGTTCTCAAGATGCTGGCGGAGCGCCTTAGCGCGTAATTGTAGACGATATGTATGCCGTACTTTGTACAGCTAGTAGATGTACATACGTGGATGCAGGTGCTTAGGTGATAAGGTTGATGAGACGGCGGAGACGAGAAAGGGAGAGAGTAATAGGGCGTTAAATGGCATGCAGCCGTGTACATATGTACAATCGTGTGTATGTCTGTATGCAAAACCAGCCGGTGGATGGGCGCGCAAGTGAGTGGCCCCATGCATGTGGTTAGAGAGGTTAGGTCTGTCGATCAGCGGATAGAAGGAAACCTGTATGTATGTCTGCGCCACACTTCTGACCTGTGCACGCATATGTTAAGTCTGCTGAGCTCTAATGCAGACACAGTCAACGACCCCTGACGACACCTAACTAACTAACTAACGAGCTTACTGATCTACGTTCCGACGTACATGTCGCAGCTGGGGATTTTCAAGGACCCAGGACATGAGCCGTACGGCATCCGCGTTGCCCTCGGGCCAGCGAGATCCCCCGGGGTACTGCGTGGTAGCTAGAACCTGTGTATGGACATGTGCGTAGTGGTGTCGTACAGTACGGCACACAGTCAAAACATAATTGCCTAAAGCGCGTGCTTTTCCAGCAGCATCTCGAGAGGCCTTTTTGAGCCGCCAGCTACCCTGCAGTGTCTGTATGTAAACATGTGTGCATGTATGTATGTATCTATGTATGTATGTGAGGCGCAGGCTTGTGTTTTAATGGCAATCCATTGAAAAGCGGGGAAGCATGTCGTACGGCTGACAAAAGAGGATTTGCGTATGTACGGGGTAAGTCGTATACCTATTGGAGACGACCCGCGGGTACGGACATTTGTGCTTCATCGTACAGAAGTACTTCGAGGACAGTACGACCTGATATCGCCCGCCCATATCCATCTATCCATGTAAATCAACCACGCATCCATCACGCCACCCAGCCAGGGTAGACGGCCTGCCAGCCTGCCAGATCCACTCACACAACTCCACTGTACTGTAATGTACCGCACTGTACTGCAAATGTTTACTGCACGCACCTCCACAAAGCCGTCCCCTCCCAGAGGTACTCCGTCTCCAAAGCCGTACGTACGGGTAATGTACCTGCGACCGTTATAATTAGTTACTGAGTGGCAGCACCAGCGGTGGCAGCAGCGGCACCTAGGTTGTAGTAGTATACGGTATGCTGGTGGAGCGCTTAGCGCGTATATGTATTTGTTATGTGTGCCGTACTGTGCACCAGCTACTACAACAGGTTGCGCACGTACTGCTGCTTTCGCAAAGAGGTTGTAGCTCTTTAAGTAGCTTGCAGGGCTAGCACTGATGATGTTGGAAGCGACAGTGCTATTTCTAAACCAATTAATAAATATTGTCAGAGCTTATGTGGCCACAGGGCTACTTCTTACTTTGCCAATTTCTATTGTCAAAATGTTACCAACAACTGGTGCACAGCATGTGCTTATTACCACGTTGACGACGCCTATGTGAAACGAACGTTTCATTACCGATTGCATAATCGCGCCGTAGATTGCTACGCATGGAGGATTTCGCGCCGCCGCCGCCGCAGCAGCGGGAATCGCTAGGTAGGCTGTTGGTAGCGCAGTAGCGCGAAGCTGAAGATGAAATAGATTAGATCGACACAGGCACACATTTGCGCATACATATACACAGCATACATACATGCATACATACGCACAGGCAGCTGCGGCTTTACTTGCCCGCGCGCGCACACTTTTTATAAGTTTTTCTTACCATGTTAAAATCAAAAGCAACAATAATAATAATAATAATAATAATAATAATAATAATAATAATAATAATAATAATAATAATAATAATAATAATAATAATAATAATAATAATAATACCTGTTTAGGCTCTGACTGTTGTACTGCGTGAGCACGTAAATCTTGTTGATGTTGCTATGAAGGCAGTTGGACAACGGAATGTCGATCAGCCTGATGAATGAATGACAGGACATGTACGGCAGCGGGCGATGTCACGTTGGTTGGGAGGGTTAATTATAATACCCACATATAATACTAACATGTGTTCGTGTGTGGGCGTTACAAGCTCGGAGGTCGGGGCATCTGTATGGCTAGAAGAATGGCTATGGCCATATTGTCACAAACCGGCTTGCAAATTTGTAGTACCCTGTAGGGAGCATCAACTCGGGATCTGCATCCGCCGATCAGCACTTTCCTGAAGTCGTGGTGCAACAAAAATCACCTTGTGTGAATGCATGCAGTTGCGACATGCAGGGCGTTCAGCATGCACGCTGAGGCCGCATACATGCATACATGCACACATGGCCATACATGGATTGCCGTCTACATGTGCGTGTGCGCATTACTTCACCTGACTGCCACAGCTACATACGCGGCGGCCTGGCTACCTAACTGCCCCTCTATTAAGCATCTAGCCATTTACCTAGCTAGCTAAGTTTTTAGGTTATCTCGCCCTGTAACACACCGGTAACTCCCGCCCACAGGTACGGCAGGCAATGCTCGCTTCTCCGTCAGCGGAAACAGGCGCCGGTCGCTCTCCCCGCCGCCCAGCACCAGCGCCACTGTGCTGACCCGTGGGCTCGGGTACGGGTGTGCTGGGGCCGGTCGAGTGGTCGAGTGGTTGGGAGGCGTTATCGGTGCCAGGGGGCGGCGGGTAGTCGCCCGGGGGTGGTGGTAGGTGGTGGCAGTAGCAGTGGTTGTAATAGTTGGTTATTGTTATATGTCAAGGAAACTTACTAATCCCTAGATTACGCTGCAGGTACTGCACGCCGCAGATACGCACCGAGGAAGCTGAAGTAAGGAGATCCAGATTTTAAATTCAAATTCGAACTCGCGTTAATTGAGCTACTGTGTTGTATCCTGGACGTATCACGGGATCTGACATCCGCATATAGGTAAAATGTGAATATAAAATATAAAAAATGGAAAATGTATGTATGCACGTGTTTCGGCGTGGGCCGTCGTTTCCACTCCGCGTGCCATCCAATACACACGTTCATGCGTCTAAGTGGTGCACACATATACGTACATGTACATAGACAGACAGACAGAGAGACAGACAGACAGATAGACAGATAGACAGATAGACAGACGGACAGACAGACATCACCGGGTAACACATCCGAGGTGTAAAACACACATGTCGGTGACGTGTGTGTAGGTTATCCTCTACAGGCAAGGTCATCGTATAATAGGTTCATAGGACAAACAAATAGACCATATGTATAGATCCATTGTAAAGGCCTTGTATGTGGAATCACTGCATGGAATGATCTATTGGAGTAGCTGGCCGCTGAAAAGGCCTCTCGAGATGCTGGTGGTCGCGCTACGCGCGTATTTGTAGAGCCGTACTGTGTACCAGCTACTACATCTATGTATATATAGTTGCCGTGCCATGGTATAACAATAGATAGGCCTGCTGAAAATAGGTGGTCTATGGATAGGCGATTAAACATTTTGCAGACGCGCAACTGTGTCGAACATATTTACAGAGCACGCACTTCTGCGTTACATTGTGTTGTTCAATTGTTCATACCACTCCAGGATATACATACAGCTTCACATAGATATTAGCTCTATTCCACATCAACCTTTAATTCCTCACCGATATCGCGATACAGATGCGGCTCCGTACCGCCGCGATGAATGGGCGACATGTAGCTTCGGGGTCGGCTGCCGCCACCGCGCCCGCCTCCATCCCCAGGAGGACTTGACCCATCCTTTCCTTGCCAGGGCGCTGCTGCTGATGCTGCTGCTGCTGATTCCCCTCGCGAAATGCCACCACACGCAACGGGCCCTTCCTTTCGATGAAGGCGGCGCCGCCGCCAGTACGGCACCTGCCCTTGCTGATGGCACGCCAGCGGGCCGGAGCTTGTAGCGGCAGCAGCCGCTGCGGACAGGGCCAATAATGATAATAATGGCGCTGAAAATGGTAATCATGAGCCGGCGCGTAGGTGCGGCATGCGGTAATTACGATGCCGCCGTACGACCGCATCACCGCAGGCTCCGCCGCCGTCCCGGCTACAGCAGTAGTGACCTTTGTAGCGGCGGCCACCATCGTTGTCCTTGTCATCGCCTTGCCCAACACGCCGTTGCGAGCGGCCGCGCGGCGGAAGCAGGCGATGCTGGCGGCGGACCTGCTGGCTGCGGCTGCTGCCGCAGCCGCTCGTGACGGCGTGTTGGTTCCGTAACGTTGGCAGCGTCCGGGGCCTAACCAGCGGCGCGGCTGATGGTGTCATGGCGGCGGCGGCGGCAATAATGGACAGAAAGGTCTGTGTACGTGTATGTGACTGAGAGGTCTCAGATTATGAGCAGGTAACTGCTGATGATGAGCAGCTGCTGGTGACAGAGCGGCGCGGAGCAGCAGCTAAGTAGCCGCGTGGTGCGCGGGCTTTGCTCGTCTCTATTCTTTGCACGTAGCAATCATGTGCGGTGATAGATCGATCTGGTGGCTGGCTTTGAATGCTGCTTGGAAACAGGGCTGCTGGAAGAAGCCGTAGTTGCGATGATGGCGGGGAATGCGAGGGACTTAGCCGCAATAAGCTAATAAGGGCGTGCTCCCTGACCAAATCGCAGCCGCCGCAGCGTCTTACAAAACCGTCAGGGAAACGAGTGATGAGTCCTTGTCACGGCGTTCCGCAGGAGCCCAGCAGAAAGAATGTGCAATTCAGGCGTGCAACGTGGAGCGAAGCGCGATGTTCATATAAAGGGGATTATTTAGAGAGGATGTACGGGGACAGACTTTGGACTTTTTGTTTTTTAATATGGACGACCCTGCGCTTGCTTTATACGAGTATTTATTACATGATGCAATTTAGGGCCTTGTAGGGATTTGAGATTCCTTTTGTCGTGATGGGATTCATAGGCGATCGAGATGTATGGTGTGGTTTCCGAGATGGCGAGTCCCCCATTTCCGATATCGATTCTATGTGTACGATGCGCATGGTCCCAAAGCACCAAATAAAGCGACTAAGCCTTTATGCGCAACAGACCTAAGAATTGGAAGAAATGATCGCTGGGCCATTATTGATGAACTTGCTGAGCGAGTCAGCCCGCGGCGACAGCATTATTTGGTGTGGAGGACTGCGCGTTCGCTAGCTCGCGTTGCTAATTTGAGGAGCTCTCCATGGAACGAATGCGCACAAGAATGGATGGGAGACGCAAAAAGACATTATGTGCGCGGTTATAAAAGCGTAAACTAAACCCAAAAGTCCCCCTGTGCGCGCGCAATAGGGCTGACGAGCACGGCTGGCGAGCGCGTGAGAGTTATAACCTGTAATAACTGAACCGCGTCGCCGCCCGCGGGGTGCGTGCTGATGAAAGTCCATATACGACCAAGCCGCCTCCTGCTGCTGCTGCTGCTGCTGACAAGCAAGAGTCTGTTCTTGGGTAGGACTTAAAAGCCTTTCACATAGCTTAGCACAATTGCCCCGCCATTATTTAAGATTTTCTTTCGTGGCCGGCAATGGAGACTGTCCTGGAAAAATAAATCACAATAAGTTCAATAATAATTGAACACCAACATGACTGTAACATTAACTTCCAACCACCAGCAACCGTGATCTTACCCGCAACCAGCGGGAGGGAGGCGGCCCATACGGGGAAACCAACGGCCCCAGCAGGCGCTGCGACGGGGCCGGGGGCTAGAGAGCACGTCCCTTCAGAGAGACGCATCGCACGGTTTATATACTCGACGGCAACAGTTAGAAAATGTGGGCAGGCATGCACCCAAACAGATTCGGACTGGCAGCTTCTGTACGGCATGTACGGCCACTACTATGCATGCCGGCACCCTGTAATGCTAACTGTCCGTTTCTTCGCAATAATATTCCATTTCTTGTCCTTGCCATATGACCCTTGTGCGATCAGCAGCAGATTGAAATGTACATACACCATATTATTGGGGCAACCCATCCAGCTAGTAATCACATACGCCTGCTACGACAAGCCATAACGTAAATATTATATTTTATCATTACATTTTGCATGCATCAGTTATCAGCCCAACAAGCTCGCTCAGACCAGCACTTCACTGACGGGGCAACAGGTGAAATCATCGTTGGACAGTGCGAACACGCAGCTGTTGCCGTAGCACATTCCCGCCGGTGTGCTGCAGCGACTGGTCCTAGCCAGCTCCAAGCAGATGTACAAGCCGCCGGAGGGGGTCGTGGGAAAGATGTCAGCCAGGCGGCGGAGTGTCATGACGCCGTACGTCTCCCCCTTCCATGTTTTAGAGCTGAGCAGCGGGACCACTGAAACGCCGTTGATGGTGGCGGTGCGGACGGGCTTGGGTTCCTCGTCCACACAGCCGCTCTCTGTGATGCATGCGCGGCGATGTGTGTATGTATGTAAGCATGCGGCCGATTTATAGGTACAAGCAGCTTTTGGGGGAGCCAGGAGCCAGGTAGAGCAGGGGAAGGAGAGACAGCTTGCTTGCTTATCATGGCTAGACAGATAGAGGAGTAATGAAGCAATACTTAAGCAACTATCGATGATGTATGCGGGAATCATCATAGTATTATCATCAATGCTTGCTTAATAAACTATATTGTGAACAAATATAGATTAATGTTTACATGATGTAATTTAACCTAATATAATTAAATATGCTTTAATGTATTGCATTATAGTATCAAGCAATTATTGGGTGAATAAAGAGCGACGTATGTGAAATTGAGTAGTGTCTATTAGACCACTTCAGGCTTATCTATCATACCATAGCACCATCTATGGACCATTCTATACCATGGAACTATATAAATATATTTTCCGGTCCTCTCTCTATGAGTGTGTGTGTGCAGTAGCTGGTATACAGTACGGCTCACAGTACAAATACGCGCGATGCGCGACCACCAGCATCTCGAGAGGCCTTTTCAGTGGCCAGCTACTACAGTGTGCGTGTGCGTGTGCGTGTGCGTGTGCGTGTGCGTGTGCGTGTGCGTGTGCGTGTGCGTGTGCGTGTGCGTGTGCGTGTGCGTGTGCGTGTGCGTGTGCGTGTGCGTGTGCGTGTGCGTGTGCGTGTGCGCGTGCGCGTGCGTGTGCGTGTGCGTGTGCGTGTGCGTGTGCGTGTGCGTGTGCGTGTGCGTGTGCGTGTGCGTGTGCGTGTGCGTGTGCGTGTGCGTGTGCGTGTGCGTGTGCGTGTGCGTGTGCGTGTGCGTGTGCGTGTGCGTGTGCGTGTGCGTGTGCGTGTGTGTTACATGGTCGTGAGGTTGTGTACCCCGTACCTGCAAACCGCGCAGTAGCATCATATCATCATCCTCATGCTCGGTCCTGTCTACTACACGATGGCCCTGTCTATAGAACTTACATAAATGTTACCGACGGAGGCAGGAGCGGCATAGTTATTCCCAGTCATATGTATACCACCGCACTATCCTGGGGTTCCCATGCATACCCCATGCAGGAGGATGAGCAGAAAGATGAGCAGCTCCCCATGCAGCATCCCCGTGGTCTCACTCGTGTGCTGCCTTTCCTGACCCACTTCGCTCGCTTTGCTGCTTACCGATGATCATCTCCATCCTGTTAATGGTCATTCCCGCACACGGGCTGGCGCTGTTCACTGTTGCGGTGGCGGCAACTCGGAAGCAGTACGTGGCACTGGAAGCCGTTGTATTCCACGGCCCGCTGGGTACGGACATTCGGTACGGCGTCACGCTGACGTCACGGGCATTGCAGGAGGTAAAAAAAGGGAAACTTTGCACAAGTTGGTTGTTGTTGCCCACGGGGGGTGGTGGGGGTGAGAGGTTGGGGGCCTTGGGCACCTTGGGCACCTTGGGTGGTTTGGGGGCTTTGGGCGGGACAGGCGCTTTGGGCGGTTTGGGCGCTTTGGGTGAACTGGGTGATCTGGGCGCCTTCGGAGGCTTGGCGGCCGGCGGAGGTGGAGATGGCGACTTGGGAGTGAGATGAGGTGGGGGGGGGATGGAGGCGGAGGACGTTGGCTGGGTGGCGGTGGTGATTGAGGCAGCAGAGAGTTTGGCGGAGGCGGCAATGGCATTGGAGGTGGTGGTGACTGGGATACTTGGGGCGAGGAATTGGGTGGTGGAGGAGAGAGCACGGCTGGTGGTGGAGGAGAGAGCACGGCCGGTGGTGGAGGAGAGAGCACGGCCGGTGGTGGAGGAGAGAGCACGGCTGGTGGTGGAGGAGAGAGCACGGCCGGTGGTGGAGGAGAGAGCACGGCTGGTGGAGGAGAGATCAGGGGTGCTGTGGGTAGAGTGGGTGGGGGTGGCGGCGATCTAACTCGTGGTGGTGGCGGCGGTGGGGGTGAGGGTGTTGTAAGAGGCGGTCTCGGTGGCGGTGACGGTGGCAGTGGGGGTGGTGGAGAAGGCGATGGAGGCGGGAAAGGGGGAAGGGGGGTTGGCGGACTTGGTGGTGATGGTGATGGTGCTGGCGATGGTGGCAATGGTTGTGGTGGCGGTAACGGTGGTGATGGCGGTAACGGTGGCGATGGTGGTGATGGTGGTGATGGTGGTAATGGTGGTGATGGTGGTGATGGTGGTAAGGGTGGTGATGGCGGCAACGGTGGCGATGGTGGTGTTGGCGGTAACGGTGGCGATGGTGGTGATGGTGGTGTTGGTGGTGATGGCGGTGATGGCGGTAATGGCGGTGCTGGTGGTGTTGGTGGTGCTGGTGGTGCTGGTGGTGCTGGTGGTGATGGTGGTGATGGTGATGGTGGTGATGGTGATGGTGGCGATGGTGGTGATGGTGGTGATGGTGGTGATGGCGGTAATGGTGGTGATGGTGATGGTGGTGATGGTGATGGGGGTGATGGTGGTGATGGCGGTAATGATGGTGATGATGGTGGTGATGGTGGTGATGGCGGTGATAATGGCGGGTCGGGAGAGGGTGGAGGCGAGCAAGGGCAATAGTTAAGGGTATACTTGTAGTAGCCCCAGGCAGTGGGGGAGTCCGGGCAAATGGGGTTGGAGGAGTCATTGGCAGCCACCCACTCGGCTGCGACCCATGATGGGTGGATAGAGGCATTCATGGGCCTTACAGAGGGTTGCAGAGATGGGGGATTGGGGGCAGGTACTGGTCAGGCGGGATGGGGAATAGGGTTGACGACGTCAGGATGGGATGTGGGGCCCAGGGCGAGGATTAGGGATTAGGCGTGCTACACTACTTTTGGGATGGGGATTGCTGTCGGGGGTGAGGATGGGGATGGGATCCCTGTCTGAGGGATGGGGATTGCAACCTTGACCAAGGAGGGGATTGGGAGCCCTGGCCAGGGATGGGGATGGGACCCTGGTCGACAGGACGGGGATTGCAGGCTTTCGCAAGTTTAGGATGAGGTCGCTGCCATAGGATTGGGAACACAGTTGGAGGATTAGAATTGGGTGTTCTGCTGTAAAATGAGGCTGCAGGTGCAGAACTTGGAATACTGACAGGACTGCAAAACAGGCCAAGGATGGATGGTTTAGTTCTCCATAGTTGCTTACATGGAAACTCAAACAAACACAAGGAGGTTCTGCTTGCAAGTCGCGTCCCATAGCAAACCAAACTCAAACACAAGGAAGTTCTGCTTGCAAGTTGCGTCCCATAGCAAACCAAACTCAAAAACAAGGAAGTTCTG